GAGAGAGAGAAAGAGAGAGAGAGAGAAGGAGAGAGAGAGAGGAAAAAAAAGAGGTTGTCATGGCAGACAGTTCGCAGCTGCCTACTCGACCCTCGGGGCCATGGGTGTGGGGGGTAGGGGGAAGGTCGCGCGCTCGCTCCGCCGGGCAGTGGAATCTGCCGGTGGGCAGATGGCGCGCGCTGCAGTTGCGGTGCGCGAAAGGCGGGCGTTGCGGTGCGCGAAAGGCGGGCGGGGCGTGCTGCAATGCGGGAGCGCGCAGCCACCGCCCGGCCACGGACAGCATATCACATGCCTGTAGAATCATGCGCCGGCGAGGGTCTCTGAGCTGAGGCCGTCTGAGTGCCGGGCGCTGTTCCAGTGTGAAATGGAGTCTGGCGCGCGCTCGGGGCACGGGGCGCCGGGCCCGGGCGGGCGGCCGCGAGGCTCTGCAGGGATCTCTCTCTTAGGGGGGTGGTGGCGCGCGTGCTGTCCGTTGCTGTCAGGAGGGCGAAAAAACACACAGACAATTAATCGTCGATTCCCAAGAAAATATGGGAAAATATGGGAAGTGGGGGGGAAGACAAAAACCCAGAAAATATAGGAAAATATTGGGAATCCTTTTATTTGTGTGTATTTATTTGTGTGTCCTGGGGCCCCTTCATGCTGGCGGTGGAGGGGCGGGCTCGTGCAGCGGGCTCCAAAGGGGGCGCGGCCAGGCCAGCGCCCGGTGTTTGGCATGATCAGTGCTGATGGCCAGCAGCACACTCAAGAGGTGCAGGATTTTTGGGGCAGGAGGTAGTGCCCTCAATGCTCAGGGTAGCAACGAGCGAGCCAGTGCAGCTTTCTGCCAGGCAGAGGCGCGCCACTTGCGATGCTGTGTGTTAGATTATGTCCATCTTTTGCAGAGCATCGCAGGAACGAGGTGAAAGCAGGAACGGAATCACATCCGCGCAGATGTTGGTTGACGCGTCGGCTGCCTGTAATTCTAGCGCCCGAAAGCTCGCCGTGAACGCGCGCCTGGTTGACCAGGGCATTGCGCGGCTGGTTATCAGGGTAGGACTACCGCCGACTGCGGTGGCCAAGCTAGAGCAGATATTCAGGCGTCCCCCCATCCGGGCACTCCTCCGACCTGGGCCTTGATCAGCGCTATATGGCGCTTCTAGAAGGGGCTTGCAGAGACGGGTGGTTTCTGCTTCCAGGGGCTGCCAGGCTGGCACTCGCCTTCAAAGGTATTCGACCAGACCTCCCACTAGGAGGTGCACATGGGTTCGTGGTATCTGAAGTGCCCGACTCGGCCATGGAGAGGTTCGTCGAAGCCGCGCTTGCCGCTCCATTGATGCAGTTTGACCAGGGCATTTTGGGCCAGACAGAAGCATCAGTTGCATGTGTTCCGCGCTCCTGTTGCTAGCGTTGAATATGCTGACGACGCGTCGTGCAATGTTGCAGCGCGCAGCGCGGTGTTCCTGGGCAGCTCTGGGGCGTTTGCCGCCGTCGTGCTCAACCGCTCTGCGCGTCAGCGCTGCCAGTTAAATTCGGCGCTGGTAAGACCGACGTGCTCGTCGCGGTAAGGAGGCCCAGGGCCGCGGTTTTGAAGCGGCTGATTTGGCGTGCGCTCAATGGCGTGGATCTTCCCCATGTCCATGGAGCTCCAAAGGTGCGTGTCGTCAGGCGATGCTCCTACTTGGGAGCCCTCTGGGCGGGCGCCTCGTCTTTCGCTCCGGGGCAGGCGCGCGCGCGGCAGATCTGCGCCCCTTTCCTGAAGTCGCTTTGACAAGTGAACGTGGCGAGAGGCCTGCCTGGGGAGGACAGGGTGGCGCTGGCGGACCACCTTGCCGCCGAGTCTCGATTGCGGCGCAAGCGCGCGGTGGCGCCTGATTCGCGATGGGCGTCGGATTCGCACGGGCATCGTCGCAGTTTTCTCGTGTCGCCCCGGATGCCCCCGCGTGCTCGGCCGACTCGCCATCCGATGGCGCGATCCTGGCCGGGGCCTGCCGTCCGGGGGGAGCGGTCCAGGCGGTGGTAGCCAGAGGAGCAGGTTTTGGACAGCGCCCTCAAAGTTTTCAGTGTGATTGTTGAAGAAGATAGTTGCCATTTTTTCGTGGCCAGAGCAAACCAATAACGAACATTCATGGACGGGGCGCAGCGCATCAGGCCGCGGTTTTACCAACGCCAATGCCAGATTTTAAGCTTGGGGCAGCGTTCATTCGAGCGGCGCCCAGAAGATGGCAGAACATTATTCGCACAGCAGCGCAAGCATGCGCTTGTGAGTATGCCAGGCGGATGCAGGCGCAGAAATGGGAGGCAGAGGTGATGGCCGAGGTATTTGGAGCCTGGCTACCACCATCAAGGCGCCAGCCAGAGCTTCCTCCCCCTCCGTGTCCTCTATCCTGTGTCTTTTGCGTTCGAGTTTTTTTCCGCAGAAGTGGGATTGACTTCCCGTTTCAGTAGGGCGCGCGCCACGTGCGCAGATACCATAGAGCATTTTTTGGAGGACAGTAAACGCTTTGCGCGCGGCAGGCAACATGCCAATTCAACAGCTCTGTTCGGGCACGTGCAGCATGGCGGCCTTTTCTGCGTGATCCATTAGATGTGTGTCTATATACAGCTGTATATGTATATGTATGTATATATTTGTGTATATGTATATGTATACGTATATGTATAGGTATATGTGTATATACATATGTAGTGCGCGCGTCCATTGTCCGAACTGGAGTGCTTGCAATAGCAGGAGCGCGGGGTAACTGAGAGGCAGACCGCTGCAACGGCCTGCCTCGAACGTTTCCCCAAGTACCGTTCCTGCAGGGGGAATGCGTGCCGCGAGAAGCGATTCGATTGTGAGGAGCGTGCGGTCAAGCTGACGCAAAGGAGCTCTCCAGGCAATCGCATGATCAGTACGTGGGCCGACCCCCTTGTGCCCCATCCTCCGCCCCCTCCCGCTGCATCCCACAGGCCGGCGTGGTATGCATATTTTCGTTTGACGGGGAAGGTTGTGCGGGCAGCTTTGCAGAGCTATGCCTCGCTCGCTCAGGAGAAATAGCATTGATAGAGTGAGTAACCTGAGCGGACTGCGTAGGCCAGGATCTGTGCAATATGTTGTAGAGACAACTGGGCACGAGTGGACATCGAACTTCGACGTTCCGGTTCAACGTCTACATGTTGTATTAGATGCAGTTCAATGCGAAGTGACGCACGCGCCCACAATTAGCTCATGGGAGTCGCAGATCAGGTCTGGTAGGATTGCCCCTTTTGGAATTGGGCAACCTTGCGAGATTTTTTGCAGTTGCGCGCTGGCTCGAGGGCTTGAAAGATAACCACGTCCGCTTCGAAGTTGGCAACGGCCCTAGAGACTCACGCCTATCACCCCCAGGCAGCATGCTCAGCTGGAGATCGGCAATCTGCTGTTACACGCAACGGTTCGTTTAATCTTGACCGCCATCACACGTGGAGTGGCTGCTTGGATGAAGCATTCGGTGCCAGCGGATTGGCGGTCACACTCAGTGTCCAGTTGGTCATTCAAGCGGTCGTTGTTGGGGGGTTGATCGACTCTCCAGCGGTTCCGTGCCACCAGGGAGGACGGACAAACATGGGCAGAGAAGGGTCCTTTCGACGACAAATCAGCCCCACCATCCTCGTCCCTCCTCCTTGTTCCTCCGTCTCCTCCTTCATTTCTTATTATTCTTCCTCGTCTTCTTCGTCTTCCTCTCCCCCCTCCTCGCCTCCTACCTATGAGGCTTACGCCCTTCTGCTGGTCCCCAGGACAGAGCTCGCGACGACCGCGGAACCCATACTGATCTTTCGGGCTTGGATACATGAGCACATCATGCGGACCTCTCAGGCCGCATGATGGGCCCTCTTCGGCGCCTGCTGGCGGTCTCGGGGGCCCTGTTGGGGCGGAGGGCACATGCTCACCAGTGAGACATTATGGGGCTTCATGGGAACTTTTTGAGGGCGTCTATATCTTTCCTTTCGGCCTGTGGGGGCTTTGTCGGGTCTTCTTGCGGGTTCTTGGGCGCCTGCCTGCGGGTTCGGGATTCTTTTTGCGGCGAAGGGGTTGACAGCTCAGGGCCCTGTGGGGGTCTTCTTGGGCCGTCTTTGGCGCCTCTTTGGCCATCTTGGGGTCCTTCTAGGAGGTCTTTTGGGCCCTCAGAGGGGGCTTGTTGGGTCGCTTTGGAGCGATCTTGCGGTCCTCTTGAGCCGTCTTGGACGCTGTGAAGACGAAAAGGCGATTGTGCTGTAACTATATTGTATCCCAGGGCACGGGCGATTTTTGCCTCTTGGGACCCTCGTGGAGATCCTTTCGGATGGAACCTTCTTGAGGAGGGAGGGGGGGTCAGCCAGTTATCGCGCACGCCTTATCACCCCTGGCAAGCGGGGGTTCGACGTATTCCTCCTTCTCCATCTTGTTTTGCTTTGTCCTCTTCGTTTTTTCCTTAGTTGTCTTATTATTATTTTTCTTCTGCTTCTTCTTCTTCTTCTTCTTCGTCTTCGTCGTGTTCTCATTATTCTAACTGGTCCTCCTTCCTCTTCCTCTTCCTCTTCCCCGTCCTCTTCCTCTTCTTCGCCCCCCCTCCGGGTTTGCCTCCCTGCCGCTGCTGCCTCTCGGCGCAACGCCCAGGGGGGGACGGCAGAGGGGGGGGGGCCTCTCGGAATCTCCCTGCGCCCTCTCCGATGGCACCGGGGGGCCTCTGGCGGCCTTTCGGACGGTCCGCTGGGGGGTTTCCGAGAAGCCCCACCGCCCTGAGGCCATGGCGGAGGCGGAGGCGGAGGCGGAGGCGGAGGAGGAGGAGGAGGAGGAGGAGGAGGACGAGGAGGACGAGGAGGAGGAGGAGGAGGAGGAGGAGGAGGAGGAGGAGGAGGAGGAGGAGGAGGAGGAGGAGGAGGAGGAGGAGGAGGGCCTGCCCCCTCTCGCTTCCCCCCCGGCGCACCGCCGACTGCCGCTCTTGCCGCTCGTGCTCCCTCCCTCGGTCCTCCCAGGGTGGCCGCAGCTGTCGTGCCTCCCTCGTGGTGTGCTCCAGGAGGCCATGGTGATCAACTACCCATCCTCCGACGTGCCGTTCACGCGGATAGTTGAGTGCGCCAGAGAGTGAGAGAGGTTGACAGATCGGGCGTGTCGTACAGTCGGACCGAGGTACAAGATCGAGGTCGGTTCGGGGAGGGTGCCTTGATGTTCTTCGTGCTTGTTGGGTGTTCTTGTGCATCCTGGGGGAGGGTGGTCTCGAAGGTTCTTCGGTTTGGCCGGCGGAGGGTCTCATGTTCTTGAAGGGTGTTCTTCTGTCCCAGGTCCGGCTGTATTGGGGGGGCGAGTGGGGGGGGTGGGGATCGAGGGCTGTAGGGAAGGGGGCCCCAAGGGGCCCCAGAGGTGCCCTGAAGGGGTTCCTTGGCGTTTCGTAAGGGGGGCGACGAGCGGGGGAGGGGGGGGGATCGAGGGCTGCAGGGAAGGGGGCCTGCAGGGGCCTCGGAGGTGCCCGAAGGGGCCCCGAAGGTGCAGGAGAGGTGCGCCGTTCTCCCCCCCCCCTGGCTGTTGCCCCTCCATAAAGCAGTGCCGGGGGCTCGGGGTGCTCGGGGTGCGGGCCATCTTTGTCTTGCTCCAGAGGCCACCTCGATCGGGATGCCTGGTCACCCAATCTGGACGTTTTGCATCTCACCGCCAGCGCATCCAGAGCCGAATGCTCGGCGAGTTGCCTTGAGCAGGGAAGTGTCGAGCCGAGTGCCCCTGCCAGCCCAGCCAGCCAGCGCAGCCAACTCAATCAGCCAGCCAGACCAGACCAGCAAGGACCAGCCCAAATCGGCCCAGGCCAGCCCAACCGCCACCCCGCCGACCAGCCAACCCGCCGACCCGCCCACTCCTGCCGCCTGCTCTCCGTCACCGCCGACGCGTCTTGCTGGCTCCGCACGGCGGCCTGGCGAGGTACAAGCACGTCCCCAACCAGACAGAGGCCGTCAAGGAGGGCAAGGTCAAGGGCACCCTGATCGCCAAGGAGTTCAGCATGGCAGACGGACCGGAAGGGGGGCCGCGCGGCGGCGGCGGGAGGTCTCGGGTGTTGCCCGAAGTGGTCCTGGCCTCAAGGCGTCCCCAGCTTTTCGCGCCACGTAGAAGCCCCTAAGGCCTCTGGGCCTCGCGAGGGGTGCTCCGGAAGCCACCGAGGCCTCCCCAGAATCTCGGTGACAGCGTGGGCCAGGGGCACCTATGGCAACGCCCGCCCGAAAGTTGCTGGCGGACACGCCAGCAATCGGCGAGCGGCTCGCCGATAGGCTGGGGGTGGCCCCGAGATCGCGGGGGCCTCCCCCTCTCAGGCCGATCATTGGGATTCCATCCAGCCTTTGGGGTGGTGTGTGTGTGTATCTCTCTCTCTCTCTCTTCCTCTCTACCTCTGTCAGGTAGGTGTATGCATGTGTGCATCGGAGGTTGGCGGGTGAGCTCAAAGTGAAACGGAGACCCTCACCAGAAAACCGGCTTCGGTTTCGTGTCGTGTCGTGGCGTGCGGGCGAGGCGAGGCTGCGTGGGCGGGCGAGAGGAATGCACCCGCCGTGGCGAGGGCGAAGCGAAGTCCACTGACTCTCTACCCCCCCTGGTTGGGCGGCGGTGGCCCCGGGGGTGTCCGGCCAGTGTCCCACCATTTGTCAGGGCGAGGCGAAGTCCAATGATTGTGCCCCCCTGGTCGGCCGGCGGTGGCCTTAGGTGTGTTCCGCTGAGTGTCCCGCTGGTGTCTCGTGGTGTCTCGTGGTATCCCGTGGTGTCCCGCGGGGTCGGCTGCGAGATTGGTAGTGAGATCGGTCGTGAGATCGGTCGACCAATCGATAGTGAGATCGGTGACGATAGTGAGGCCGACTATGAGATCACGAGATAGTGGGATCGTAGTGAAATCGATCGTGAGATCGATCAAACCAATCGATAGTGACATCGATAGTTAGGTCGACTGTGAGGTCGGTGGTAGGTGAGATCGATGGATAGTGTGAGATCGATAGTGAGATCGATAGGTATATTGAGTGTGAGATCGGTAGATCGATGACCAAACATATTGCCCACTGTGGCCTTTTTTATCCGTGCACCTGGCCCGCGAGTTCTCCGCCAGAGCAGAATTGGCCGACGCCATATTTGCCGCGCTTCTCGAGAAGCGCGGTACTTCTCCTGAGGCGCTGCTGGCTTCAGCACGAGAGGCACCTCCGAGTCGTGACCGTGGCAAGCGACGGGCGTCAGCCGACCGACGCTGAGCCTGCAGACGTGCGGGCGATGCTGTCTGCGGAGAGCATGGCGCCGGTCTCTGACAGTGTCATGTTGTACTGCGAAGAGTCGTCGGGTCGCAAAGCCGCTGGGCTGTGGAGTTTCTTATGGCATCGGATCGCGCGGAGAAGAAAAGCGCGCCCGCCAAGGGGGGTCAGCGCAGCGCTGGAGTCAAAGCTGCTCCGACAAAGAACAGCCGCCCATTGGTGGGAGCGGCACATGGGATCGCGGTTGAGAGCGCCGCGGCGCAGACTATGATCGAGATGGGCTTCGAAGAGATGGACATCGCCCGCGCGCTCGACCAGACGTCGCTACAATTCGGGCGCGCATTCCTGCTGCTGCTGAGCGGCCTGGAAGCACAGCGCAACAATTACGACACAAAGCAGCGGTTCTGGCGCCATAATCGGAAGAATGTGCGGGGCGCGGACTGCAAAAAGCTGAGGGGGACCAGATCTTGATGTCGTATTCGCAGAGTGCCCGCGCCGAACTCAAGTTCGACGCGCGGGTGTGGGACTTCGCCCAGTGTGCGAGGCGAGCCAGAGGTGCTGCGAGGTCGCTTTGACGCACGCCCGTTTCCCGCTCTGGTTTTCTGAGCTGGCCCGCCGCTGTGTGACAAAATGCCTTCGATCGTCTGGCGCGCCACCAGGCCCGCAGACAAGTAACATGCGACCTCCGGCAATGGAGGTGGTGTTTTTTGCCCGCGATTGTGGCGGTGGCGCAATCACCGGCTTGGGTGTAAAGACCGATACATGGTTGTGTGATCGGTGGACGGCAAGATCGGTAGACCGTGAAATCGACGGATCATGGGACCGATCGGTAGTGAAAGCCATCGTGAGATCGATCGTGGGGTCGATCGCGACGTCGATCGTGATATCGATGTATAGATAGTGAGTAGGGTCGACTGATACTGAAGCTGGTAGATACCGAACTCGATGGATAGCCAAGCCTCTCGGGAGTAAGATCGCGAGTGGCACCGCTGGTGGCGTCGATAGTGCGATCGGTACTGCGATCGACCGTGAGATCGTTGGTGAGATCGATTGAGTGAGACGTTGGTTCCTCCCCCCGCAACCTCCTTATCGCAAAAAGGGTGATCGTGCAGGCATGTGTGCATATAGACTTAAGTCGGGCCTGTCCCTCTTCAGGGGGATATTCATAAATAGTCAAAACATAGTATGGGGACTATTTTTTGAGTATGTTCGGGCATCTTTTGAGTATTTCCCCATATCCTAAGATGGGGTTCTTGTTATTACTCGGACGCCGCCGACTCCAGAGAACCAGAGAGAACACACCTACTCATACACAGACTTACTCAAACTCAGACCTACTCATACTCATACCTTCTCACGGTCTGACTCACTCAACACACAACATGCAGGCCTACTCATACTCAGATTTAGTCATGCTGGGACTCCTTTATGCCCAGACTTACTCATACCCAGACTCGTTCCCAGACCTGCTCATACACAGACTTACTCATATTCAGACCTACACATACTCAGACCTTCTCATAGTCTGAGATACTCAACTCACGGACTGAGACCTACTCATACTCAGACTCGCAAGGGGAGCCGCCAGGGGTGTTTTCACGGGCCCGTTCGCGGCCAGGGTGTGGGGATGTCTCAGGCGGTTTGCTCGTTTTCATGCCCAACACCCTTGGCTTTCAGAGCAGATTGTGAGGATGTCTCAGGCGGGGCGCTGGTTTCAGCACCCCTAGGGGGAGACGCCAGGGGGTAGGACACGGGCCCATTCGCGGCCAGTTTGTGGGGATGTCTCAGGCGGTTTGCTTGTTTTCATGCCAAACATCCTTGGCTTTCAGAGCAGATTTTGAGGATGTCTCAGGCGCGGCGCCGGTTTCAGCATCCCTAAGGAGAGCCGCCAGGGGGTAGGACACGGGCCCGTTGGCTATCATAGTCAAACGCTCATGAGCGGACGCTCACTATGGCATGACATAAGACATGAGATGCACATATGGGGAGCTCCACGCAGTGAGTTATCTTTGAATATTTTCATTTTTCGTCCAAAATACCCTTGTAGGGGGACAGGCCCGACCTAAGTATAGGCGCATGTTCATAACAGAGGGCCCCGTGGCGCCCTGGGAAGGTTGCCAGGGGAGCCCCAGGCTCGAAGCTCCCGCCCCTCCGCTGTCAGCGGGGAGTTTCACGAGGCCCCCCTGCCGTTGAGGGCGGGGGCCCCCTTGCCAAAGGGGTGGGGGCTCCCGAGCCACCCCCACGCCTCCCACTCCTTTCGAAGGCGGGCCCCCCCTTGCCAAGGCACGGGGGGTCGTCGTCGTCGTCGTCGTCGTCGTCGTCGTCGTCGCGCGCGAGCGGGCGGGCGCGCGGGCGCGCGAGCGGGCGGGGTTGGCGGGCGGGCGTGCGGGCGGGCCCTCGCCGGAACTCCTGGGCGGAGGAGGGGGGCGCCTCCCCTGCGGGGGGCTTCCGGCGCGGCTCGCGCCCTGCCCTCGGCCGGCGAGCTCCGCGCGGGCCTCGCGAAGGCCGTCCTCGCGAGCAGAGCCCGAGGGGGGCCGCGTGGAGCGGGGCCGGCAGCTGCCCGCGGAGGTCGGAGGTCGGAGGTCGGAGGGAGGGCGAGGCTCGAGGAGGCTCCGGGGACGTCCCGGGGAGTCCCGGGGGGTGTCCCCGGATGCCGGCCGAGGCACTCTTTGCGAGGGCCCACCAGGACAGGAGCTCTCGAAGGAGGAAGACCAGCACCACGAAGAGGGGGAGGGGGAAGAGGCGTAGAAAGGCGGCGTATAGGAGGGGAAGAGAGAACAGAAGAAGAACCGACGCCATAAACATAAACGTCTTGCGCTCCGAGCTGGATGTTGTTGTGTCCCGAGCTGGTTTCCGGACGGAGGTGGAGGCCCCCTCGGTGGCGACCGCTGCTGGCGTGGCCCGGCGCCCTCGGGCCCCCGCCGCGGTGCTGGGTTCTGGCGCGGCGGCGGGGGCGGGGCGGGCTGCCCTTTGCGGGGGGGCGCGCGGGGGGCCGCGGGAGTGCAGCGAGGACCACGGTGGGGTGGGCTCAGGAGGGGCTCTGGTTCTCGGGCCGCTCCTCGGATCTGGGTCGGGGAGCCCTCCTCGTGGCCCAGGCGTCGACAGCGGGGTAGCGAGTCCTCTCCCTCTGATTCGGGCAGGGGCTCGCATGCTCGGACCAGGAGCGCGTCGGGCCCAGGAGGGGCTGTGGTTCTCGAGCCGTGCTCGGGATCTGCGTCGGGGAGCCCTCTTCGTGGCCGAGGCTCGCCGTGGCCAGGAGGTCCCCTTCGTTGCTCAGTACGCGTTCGTTCTGGTGGCACGACGGCTGCAGTTGGGCGGAAGGCAGCCCTGGGGAGCAATCGGCACGAGCAGGCTGCATCAGGGGTTGCTTCGTGGAGCCTCTTACCTGACCACCGCGCGAACCGCGGCGAAACGGAGGGTTACCTGCGTCAGACGCATCCTTTGCGCAGCGGGACGCGCAGGCGCAACTCGATGGGGACGTCCTCGCGGCGACAACGCGACGGGGCGGGGACGCGAACCTCAGGACACTCCATATGTGTCGTCAGCGGCGGGGCGTGCTGTGTCGTTTGGACTCGAGTTTGCGAAGCACGGGATTGTGCCCGACGAAGAAAAATGACACAGACATAAACAGTCGGAGCTTCGCGCGGATTTCTTGGATCGGCGCTGGACCTTGATCCCTAGCGCGCGGAGCGCGCCAGGGGCGGCGCCAGAGGAGGCGCCAGGGGGTCTCAGCGCCCATCCAAGAAATCCGCACGGAGCTCCGAATGTTTGTGTTTATACAGTCGGCCTTGGTTTGTAGGTCGACCCTGCTAAATCAAGGGTACCGTTGTGTCCTGTGTCTCGCGAACCATGCCTCGTGCAGATTCCCATGGCAACGTGGCCCTCGAGAGGGTCCTGTGTCCTCTCGCGTACCCTGTCCAATCAGGTCCGACTGTATGTACGGCTCGGCGTCGCAGCGTCTGTATTCAGTCGGCGTGCAGGAGGAGGAGGAGGAGGAGGAGGAGGAGGAGGAGGAGGCGAAGACCTTCGTCGGCCCCGGCCTGTTGCGCGCACCCGCGGAGGCCGGCCGCTCGTGCCCGCGCGGCGCTCGGGCCCTTGCCCCCGCGCGGCAGGGCCTCCCCCATCGGGCGCTCTCGGGCCAGCACGACCGGCATGGCCTCGAGGCGAGGCGGCTCCGCAGGGAGCCGCCTCCATGGCTCGCGCGGCGCGCGCCCCCCCCCTCTGCGACGCTCTTTCCGAGGCAGATGCCCGATAAGGCCCGGGTGCATCCAGCCGCTGAGGACGGTTCCGACGTGGCTGCGGAATCGCGGGCAGCCGTGGGCGGCTACCTCCTGGAGAAGTGCCCCTCGTTCCAGGAGGTCCATAGGCGCCTGGGCGAGCTATCGTTGCCGGCGCACGGCTGGCTTGCCAGGGTGGTCTGCGGCGCCAGCCCCTTGCGTGGTCACGTTCCGTCGGGCGTCCGAACGGCAGTCTAGCCGTCGCGTGGCAGCTGCCTGCGTTCAAGTCTGATTTTCGAGCTTCGGGCCTGAGTGCTGCTGCTGCGGGCTGGGGCAAAAGTCCGAAGTTTGCGCAGCACACGTCTTGTGGGTGCAGCGTGGCTCCCGACGCGAAACTGGCACTCTTTCCTGGCCTCGCCGGGCGCGCGTGCGATGAGACCCGCGTCGTCGCCATCGCTCAGGCCGCACTGGTGCTGCTGGGCTTCACTCTCTTCGCCTTGGCGGCGCCGAGAGCCTGGCCAGGCCAGTGCTGGTCACGTGGGCGATGCAGCGCCCCTGGCCGCGGTGGAGGCGGCGCTGTTTTAGGCTGCGTCCGAGCTGCCTCACTTGCCGGGTCTGCCGCGGGGGCCGCCCAGGTTGGCCGCATTGGCTCTCTGCTCTCCTTGGTCGGCGCCTTCCCGAGCTGCGGGGCCTCTACTCGCGCGGCCGGCTCAAGATGCGCTTCGGTCGCATCGTGATGCAGCGGTTGCGAAGGGAGTCCAGGCCCGGATCGGCCCTCAGGTGGCCTCGATGTTGTCGTCAGCCGCGGCCCTGGAGGGCTGCAGGGCCGCAGGGGGCTCCGACAGCCGAGCGGGAGCATTTACGCAGTCCTTGGTCGGGTAGTGGTCCTCCGGCTCCAGTGGTCGTATGAGGTCGCCGCAGAGGCCTGGTGATTTGAAGGCTTGCACCTATAGCTCATGTCCTTCTGTGGACGTCCAGGCAGGTGTTGGCGGTGGTGGCAGCTGCGGAGCTGGACGCCCTGGTCCCAAGTCGGGACTCACTCTTTCGTCCATGCAGAGTCAGTGCCCGACGGCAGTGCGGACACGCTGTGGGGTGTGGCGCGCTGCGGGCACGCGGTTGGGCTCTGCGGGCAGCTCTCCTGCACCACCCACGCCTGGTGCGTGTACGGTGTCTGCCTGCGCTGTGCAACGAGCTCTGCGAGAAGTGCTTCCCATATGTCTTGGGGGGGTTCCGAAAGCGGATGTTCGGTCCGCGTGGGCTCCTTGCGCGTGCCTTTATTGGGGAGGCTTGCCCCGCCAGAGAGGCAACGTGAAAGGAGGGAGACCCACGCCGCGCTTGAAGCACCTAATCGCTCGTTCATGCTGACCAGCCTGGTTGGGCAGGATGTTCCTCCTTCTATGCTTGTTGGTATATTTTGGTAAGGGAAGCTTGACGGTGGCGTGGGGAAGCGGTGGGAGGTTGAGCTGAGTTGCACCGTTGGGCTCCATCGCCACTTGGATGGAGGGGAACACAGGCCTTGCAGGATCGCAGACCGCCTTCCCTCCACAGTCAATTGCACTGGTCTTCCTCCTCTGCCTAGGTGAGGCTTGCCCCGACGGGGAGGCAACGTGCGAGGAGGTCGGCCCACGCTGCACTTCAAACAAATCATCGCTTGTGCATGCTGGTCTTCACATCACCAGGGTGGTTCGGCGGGAGGTTCCCAAAGCCTGTTGCGTAGTGCTTCGGTGCGGCTCAGCTGGACTCTTTGTGGCTGCGGCTGAGGAGGCACACGTGATACCGGACGTGGATGATGACACCATGATTACGAGGAGGCGAGGAGGAGGAGGAGGGGGCGAATTTGAGGAGGAGGAGGCAGAGGAGGAGGATGAGGAGGAGAAGGAGAGAACGAAGAGGAGAAGGACGAGGAGGAGGAGGACGCGAGGAGGAGGAGGCTGAGATGACAGTGAGGAGGAGGAGGAGGAGGAGGAGGAGGAGGAGGAGGAGAAGGAGAAGATGATCAGGACATCGATGAGACTGACGATAATAATGACAGCTGTGATGATCATGATGATGAAAACCACGATGACGATGACGATGAAGTCGACGACGACGATCATGCTGATGCTGATACCGTTGTTGGTGATGATGATGCTGATGCTAATGCTGATGGAGATGATGACGACGATGATGGTGGTGATGACGATGAAGATGCTGCTGATTATACTGACGATTACGATGGTGATGATGCTGACGACGACGACGATGATGCTGATGCTGATGATGATGATGATGATGATGATGATGATGATCATCATCATCATGCCAATCATGACAATTGTAATGGCGACAATGAGGATGCAGATAATAATGACGATGCCGATGGCGGCGGTGGTGGTGGTGGTGGTAGTGATTTTGCTAATGATCATGATAGCGATTAGCGTTATGAGAACAACCACCATGTTGGCGATACTGAGGACGATGACGCCGTCACCGCCGGTGACGATGATGATGATGCTGATGATGATGACGATGATGATGATGATGATGATGATGATGATGATGAGGATGAGGATGTTGATGATGCTGCTGCTGATGATGCTGCTGATACTGATGATGCTGATGATGCAGACGATGTTGCTGCTGCTGATGATGCTCATGATGATGCTGATGATGATGACGGCGATGATGCTACTGATGATGATGACGATGATGATAATGATGATGATGAAGATGATGATGCTGATGATGCTGAGGATTAATCTGCTTATTACTATTGTTATTATTATGATGTCGCTGCTGCTGCTGATGATGATGACGAGGAGGACGAGGACGACGATGATGCTAATGCTGATGCTGATGCTGCTGCTGATGATGCTGCTGTTGACGATGATGCTGCTGCTGCTTATTATTTTGACGACGACGAAGATGAAGATGCCGACGATGACGATGACGACGATGAGGCTGAGGGAGGTCAGCGTAATGACGAGGAGGTGGATGCAGAGTATGGTGGTGGCTGCAGGGGACCCGTACTACCCGGTCCCGAACCCCGAGAACCAGGCGCTGTACGAGAAGTGCGCTTGGGGTGGTCGTGGAGTGGGGCCGGACGTTCGATCCCGTCCCGAAGTCTGGCGTCTAGTGTCCAGTTTTTCCTGTTGGAGCAGATGTCCCATCACCATGCTGCCGTGTGCCCGCTCAGGATTTTGAAGTCTTGACCGAACATGGGCTGCGCTTGAGACTCCCAGCGGAGGTGATAACTCATCGTAGCTCGCTGGCGGGAGCTGCAGGGACCGCGTTCGGCGCGGGTCCGCGGGCCGTGTCCCCTGGAGGACGTGGAGAAGGGCGTTCGGGACCAGAAGGAGTGTGAAGAGGAGGAGGCGGAGAAGGGGGATACGCGATGAGAGCAGGGTGGAGGATCAGGAGGACACGCTATGCATGACGAGAAGGGGCGAGGTGGATGTCAATCCAGAAGGTCAGGAGGTGCAAGAGCACCCGCAGGAGGAGGATGGCGATAAGGATTCGCAGGTGGGAGGAGGAGGACGATCAGGATCAGTAGGATTTGTCGCACGTGTGTTCGTCGCGGGCCCGAGGGCCGTTGTGTTGCTGTGGCTGTCGT